TATTCTCACCTCACTTTTTTAAGGAAAATATTTTTTTCATTATAGAGGCATTGATTAATGAGAGATTAGATTTATATCTGTTTTCAAGTTTTTTACTTTCTTCATTCAATAGTACTATGCTAGTATTATCCTTTCTCTGTCTCTTTAAAAAAAAAAATTCTGGAATTCCATCAAAATCTATGACAGTTAAAGTTTTGTGTTTCCCAGCCTATCTTAGAGTTTTCTCAAGTCCCTTGTGACTAGCAACTCCTGGGAATGCATCAGCATTCATGATTTTAGCAAGAATTCATTATTTCTCTTGCCATTGTGATTTCTAAGAACAGGTAGTCTGGGTATGTATTTCATATCTATAACTAATATCAAGTTTAATTTTTTTCTATTTACATAAATGTTATTGTTTAACATGTTAGATAGTAGCAACATCTTTTTTTATTTTAAAGATGTGGGATACATTTCAGGATTAGGTACATAAGTGGTCATCATACTGGTGAAGTTTGGGCTTCCAGTTGGTCCTTACTTTGCCTGGTTTGGGATCAGGCATCCTTATTAGTGTTATGTGTCCCCCAACCTCCTTCCCCTGGCAGAGACACACTACTGCCAATCCCTTTCATGTAGTATTCTGAAAACATTTATCAGAATACTACATGAAAGGGATTGGCAGTAGTGTGTCTCTGCCAGGGGACAGAGTGAGAACATGTGGTACTCAGTTCTTTGAGTGAGAACATGTGGTACTCAGTTCTTTGAGTGAGAACGTGTGGTACTCAGTTCTTTGTTTCTGTGATAGATCACCGAGTATGATGGACTCTAAATCTATTCAAGTTGCTGTGAAGTCCATAATTTTGTCCTTTTTTATAGCTGCATAGTAGTCCATCGTGTATATGTACTACATTTTTTAAATCCAGTCCACCTTCAATGGGCAGCACAGGTGATTCCATAACAACATCATTTTTATGGCATCCATCATTTGGTAGTTTGGGGAATGAATGACTTTTCTATGGGAAATTGCTAAATGTAAAACTTATTATTTGAAGCAAAGAATTTTGATTTTACTTATTTTTTTAAAAAAAATTTCTAAAGGCTACTACCCTTTCCTGTGTATAAATTAAGTATTGAGAGCCCTGCCAGCCATGCTTCACCTTTGTTGAGGTTCTCACATCATTTTGTACAAAGAACACTTAGAAGTGGCATGCTCTTTTTTTGTTCCAGTCTCATTCTGCACCTGACTGTGTACATTTTATTTTATTTTATTTTTGAGTTGGAGTCTCACTCTGTCGCCCAGACTGGAGTGCAGGGGCTGCTTCCAGCCACTGCAGCCTCGACCTGCTGGGCTCCGGCAATCCTTCCGCCTCAGCCTTC